TCCTTCAGCGCTTCGGCTTCACATACTCCTCGCCTCAGGCCACTCCTTTGTCTACTCGCCACTCGCTCTCAGCTCTTCCTTCGGATGAGTCCGTAGAGTTGAGTGGCCCGTACCCAGAGCTTGTTGGGTGCCTCATGTACCTGATGACCTGCACTCGACCTGACCTTGCATACCCTCTTAGCATTCTTGCTCGCTATGTTGCTCCTGGGAGACACCGACCAGAGCACATGGCTGCAGCGAAGAGGGTGTTGCGCTACTTGTGGAGTACGTCGGGCATGGGGCTAGTGCTTGGAGGGCGGAGTCCAGTGGTCCTGACTGGTCACACGGACGCTTCTTGGGCTGACAACCAGGCTACGCAGCGGTCGTCGCAGGGGTACACCTTCAGTCTTGGTTCTGGCTCTGTCTCTTGGCGGGCTACTCGCTTGTCTTCTGTTCTCGGCTCCAGTTGTGAGGCTGAGATCTACGCCAGGGCCATGGCTGCACAGGAGCTTCGCTGGCTCACCTACCTGCTGACTGACCTTGGAGAGGTGCCTCGTTCTCCTCCAGTACTGTACGTAGACAACAAGGCCATGCTGGCCTTGTGTTGAGAGCAGCGCTTGGAGCACAGAACGAAGCACATTGCTCTTCGCTACTTCCTTGCTCGTGAGCTGCAGCAGCGTGGTCAGTTGCGACTTGCGTACGTGGCCTCTGAGGCCAACACTGCTGATGTTTTCACCAAGGCACTTCTGCCTTGTGATCATCAGCGCTTCTGCACTCAGCTGGGACTTGTACCTGTCCTACCTCACTTGCTCACCTCTTGACCTTGCTTGTACTCTTGCATATATATATACCTGCTCTTGCTTGTTTAGCCTTATATATATATGTGTCTAGTCTTGCATGTGAACTGGCCTTGTGGCCTTGACCTTGTGCTCGGACTGTGTGGTGACTTTGTGATCCACCCTGAGCTTTGCTTTGCTTTGCTTGACTGATCTTGTGACCCCTTGTTCTCCCCCACTTTGCCTATGGGGGTGTGTCAGAACTTATAGCTTATGCTTTTGTGTAGGCTATAGTGGGGTATCCCATAGGAGGTACAACCCAATTAGGGTTGGTACTTATACTCACACATTTCATAGTGCATTCATTCCTGTTCTTTACTTTCACAGTGTCCCAATGATGTGTCTGAGATGCTCTCCCGGCCCTACGTCTTGATGATGTTCTGTTGCTGAACCCCCTCTCGCACTCCGCCGTGCTCAAAGGCAGCCCAACTACTGCTTACCATAGGAGCATGATGTTGGGGTAGGAGCGCTGCCACTTGTCGTCGCGCAGAGTGTTGCTCAGCGCCTGATGGAAATCTTCGTCATGGTGCTGGGAATGCATGGTCGATGTAAACATCCAAAGCTTAGCGACAGCCTTCGTGTAGTTGAAGCCTGAGGCATAGGGGGAGTGATTCTCAAAGGAGTAGAAAGCGGCAGATTAGCTTAGGGAGGGGGAAGGGGGGGGGGGGGGGAGGTGTTGATCTTTACGAGCACAAGTCATGTGAGACAGGCCGTGTGTAGGCTATTATAACAGGGTGTGACATTCATGTGTGCACAGAAGGAAATTTGACAGAATCAATGGTGCACAAGGCGGGCAGGATCTCGCGGAAGAGCACATGGAGCTGCTTCAGCCAGCGCTTGAATGCCGCGACACGCTTGTCATCATCGTGAAGGTACTTCGATGACAAGAAGAGCTTCGAGCCATCGAGGTGAGACAGATCTCTCAGGCGCTTCTCAAGCTGCTTGACAACCTCCCGCACAAACTTGGTCGACAGCTCGTAGCATGCTGTCGCGTCACCTGCTGTCGCATCACCGTTTGGGTCTTCATCTGCCAGAGGTTGCTCGTGGAGCATGGACTCATGAGAGGATGGGGTCCCATCTCTATCGACCCCTTTCACCTTCATCTTCCGCTTGTCCGGGACCGGCTTGTCAGGATGAAGGCAGGCAGATGCATCTTGTCACCATGACCGAATGTGTGTCCCTCGGGGACACAGAGGTAGCGTTGGATCAGACGCATCCGCGTCTGCTCTGCAAGGTGTGCCACCAGAGTCACGTCTACATGTGACGCACGTGCAGTACAGAATCAGTGTCTGCGTGTTGGTAAAATGATATTTCACATGGAAACCAAGCATTGAGCTGACTGTGTGACATAAACATTGCGCGTACTAACCTGGCGTTGCTGGAACCAAAGGTTGAGCTTATTTAGCTTGAATAGGACGTCCGCTAGGAGCCGCAGAAGCCAATGAAACTTGAACGACGTCGCCACTTTGTACATCGTCGGCGATTGGTCTTTCATCAAAACAATGGCAGCTGGGAGCACTTCCGGGAGACGGCTTCCCCACGACATAACCACCAAACTGTACTGATGCCTTGGACTTCAAGGTTGGTTTGACAGAAGGTGAGTTGTAGATTCATGAAACGCGTGTGCTGGACGTTGCTGTTGGATAGAAGGGAGGCAAAACTGCGCACGGTGTCGTCGACCATGTTGAGATCCTTCACGGCAGTCGCAACATCTTTCGCCGCCAGATCTTCACTGTACGATAGTGGATCGGTGACGAATGGAACATCTTGCCCACGCATTAGGCTCAAACATGGATTGAAGCATAAATACAACAAAGCAGAGGGTGAAGGCGAAAAAAACTGCACATCATATTAACGAACCAATGCGCTATGAAACGTGTGGAAACGAGATGAGGAATCTTGGCGCGGAGACGTGTCGAAATATTTTGTCATGTTTTATAATTGCTTGTAGTTGTAGTTAGTGTAGTTATGTAAACTTTTGTTGGTGGTGCACCTTATTTTGTTTCTATGCTATATGTACCCCTGAACCTATAGTGAAACCACCTTTTCACCAATTTCTCTCTCAACTCACTCGACATCGCTCCTAAGCAAAACCCGCTCGATACCTAAGTTAGGGCCTAGGCTACTAAGCCTAGGCCCCACCTTTCAACTCCTGTTCTTATTACTCTCGACAAGACGTGCGACCACGCCATTGTGAATCCCGACCATTACGCTCGCGCCATCCATGGCGATGCCGACCATCTTTTGCAGGTCCACACCAATATGCTGTAGGAACTGAACAACGACTGATGTGTTCGCAGCAGCGTCGGTCCGCTCAACCGGAGAAGAGATAAGAACTCGGTCGCCACCACCGTTCCCTTGAAGAATGTGGCGTAGATGTTCAGGTGCTTCCCGTGGATGCGACCCGTACTCTTGTCAATGCCAATCCCGAACCAGGAGGTAAGTCGACATCGATCAAATCTTCTCTTTGAAACCGTAGCTGCAAACACGACGGACAGATGCGGAAGTATTAGTAGCTGCCGATTGTACAGGCAATACAACATGCTAGAAAAAAACAGATGCATTAACTTACTCCGTATAGTACGACCTGTGGGCGGTAGATCAAGAAGTCCCTCTTTGGCCAGGAACCAGCAGAGAGGTACAGATAGGGCGATTGGAGCATCCGCCTTACAGATGAACATGGCGATGTGCAGACAACGGATTATGTGACATGTTGATGCATCTGTGGCTTGCCAACGAGTCAGAGTCAGTTGACGCTCACGACGCGCCTCAGCCTCAGCTTCCAACTTCAAGGCGGCCTTGTGCGCCCGAGTCGCAACATGGGCGCATATGCTGCCAAGCCGAAGATCCCGGCCACCCTCGCCCTTGATGCCGTACGTCGTGTTGGCAGCGGGATCGCCATGCAGCATGCAGATGTTGCACTTCAACGAGGGGCGGCCTGCTTTTGTGCGATGCAAATGAAGCCACCGAAAATGGGAGGCCCAGTCGGAATCAAAACAATGTTTCATAATAGCATACCCAGTGTTAGCATCCGATTGGGGTAACTCGTCACCCTCCACTGGCGGAGCTACACGAGGAGGACTTGGTGGTTTACGTGGGGGCTTTGCACCCCAGAGAAGCTGCTGGGTTTATTTCACACCACCGGTGCGAGGACGCTTGGCAGGAGCGCCATTGACCGTTGACGGAGTGCTCTCGCCGCAGTTTGAAGGGCCCTCGTCACCACCAGGCACCAGAGTCATGGACGGGTGTGGCTCCAAGACAGTCGTCGAGTTTGGTGCCTCCCACGCAACCACCATGCCGACTGAACGGACAGGTGATTCGAGGCGAGGAGGTTCGTTGACAGGAGTGGCATAGACTTTGCCCAGGCGGGGGAAAACCCCGAGCACAAAAAGTCCATCGCGAGGAGAAGCAGGTGCTTCTCCTGATTCCTCGTCTGTCACGGTAAGGTGGTGCTAGTGGAACCGAGAGGCGGATGGAAGACACGGTGGAAGAGAAGGTGTTCATGAAAGAGAAGGCTCTCGATCGAAGGAAGGGTCCTTTCACAAAGCGCATCCAGAAGGTGTGGCGCTGCGCATGCAAGCAATAAGCCGAGGAAGCCCGACCACCCACCGTCTGCAAGGATAGCCCGTGGCATGGTGGTGTGGGCTGAATTGCCATGCTGGATGTAAATGCTGTTGAGGCAGCAAATCGCAACTTCTGTGGTGTTGTCTGTTTTGTCAAGCTGACAGCGCTACAGTGACTTGTGGGGCCGGTTTTATAACCATCTCGGGCTAGTGGCCAGATGGGCCCTATTGTACAGAAACGACACAAAAAAGTCTGTTTCAGTGCATTTCGAAAAGTACCTTGACGAAACAGGGGAATTCTCGAGGAGGCCTGATTTTGAAAGTCTATTTCAAAAAGTACATTTTTACTGTCAGGGACAATTGGTAAATACACTTACTGAATCAGGGTAATCCTGGAAAAGAGGCCCATAGCAAGGGTAGAAAGGGTAAAACACCCTTGAATTTTGGGCCCTGGCTCCAGGTCTTAATTCGGTTTTGGTAGCTGAATCCGCGCTTGCACTCCACGATGCTGAAAGGGAGCACGACTACAGCTTGCCACAGCTGTACGAGATTCGGGTAAGAGCTAGCGCGTAGTCATTGGTGCGGAGCATGAGGGTGAGTGACTTAAGAATCTCATATTACTATGGTTGAGGTCCATCGTGTGCAAGAACAGAGGGAGCTCCCTCTTGCATGTTTTGAAGTTCACTCATGGGGGGAACTTGGGTACATTGGGGAAGAGTATTGGTGGGTTAAGAATACATGTCGAAAAACAGTGTTGGAGTAGGCTAGAGCTCGCTCTGGCCTTTATTTTGGTGTTCTTATATTATTTCTCCATGCTTAGAGAGAGTTACGCATTCAGGTTCATTTTAGGTTCATTTTGTAGTTTTTGGTACAAACCGAACACACCCTAGGTTCAGTTAGGGTTTCCAACCCTTTCTATTTTGTACCTCGACATTTCTCTTCCTAGTCCAACTTTTTCACCTCACCAAAAACTCTCGCCATCCATGGCTTCTCTAACTTCAACATGGTATTCAGAGCCTAGTCCTAAGCATTTCCCTTTTATCCGCATCTCTTAGAAATTTTCTGGTCCTTAGGCCATTTCCGCGCTACTTACCTAGACGATTTTCTTTTTCTTCTGTTTTATCGTTTCCTTAAGTCACACTTAGCATCCTCGTGGTTTTCTTCATTTTAGTCACGCGGATGCTCTATTTCACTCCGTAGCGCGCCTCCCTACCGTCCGTTCGCTCTCCTGCGCCTTCCCCCTTCGTTACGTCTCCTCCTCTTCACATTCCCGGCGGTAGCGTGCTGTTTTTTGTTCGTAGCGCGCTTAGCCGCCCCCCCTCCCCTCCGCCCCCCTTCCCGTCTTGTCGCGCGCACATTGCGCTGCCGTTTGCCACGCGCACAGCAACAGACTACCCCGCCACTATCCCTCCTCCTCTAGTTTCTCCCCTCAGCGGCGCAGCAGCAGACTACTCCGCCACTATCCCTCCTCCTCTAGTTTCTCCCCTCAGCGGCGCAGCAGCAGACTACTTCGCCACTATCCCTCCTCCTCTAGTTTCTCCCCTCAGCGGCGCATCAGCAGACTCCTTCGCCCTTATTCCTCCGCCTCTTATACCTCTCCCCTCATCTGCTCTGCAGCTATCTCCTCCTCCTTATGGCGACCTCTCTCGCCCTCCCCTCCCTCCCTCTGCTGGTCCTACAGCTTGCGCCTGATGGCAGCGCAGTCAACTTCCCCAGTTGGCTGAACTGTCTAGAGCGCACGTTGTCTGGCACCCTCGTGAGTGGCTTTAACCTCTGGTTTGTCACTCAGCAGAGTGGTTCTGGCGCCATTCCTAAACCTGCCTCTGCACCTACCTCTACCTCCTCTGACCCCTATGCTGATGGCCTTCGTGCTGCTATCGCTGAAACTGAGCGGATTGCGGCCACGGCCCAAGCCACTGCTACGGCTGCTCCTAACAATGCTGCAGCCCGTGACCTCGCTCGTGTTCTTGCTGAGCCCCTCAAGAGCACCCGCAAGCGCCTCACTGAGCACCTCGCTGCCCCCTCTCCTCGCTCTGCCTCTACTCCCTCTGCTTTTGCCCCATCTCACTCTGACCTTCTTGCTGACTGGCATATTGCCAACGCACGTGCATGCCAGGTCATCCTTGCCTACCTACCTCCAACCCTTCTCCCTCAGTGCTCGCACATCCGCTATGCCAAGGACCTTTCCGGCTATCTTATCGAGCGCTTCTAGTCGCAGACTCCCATCAGTGTCATTGCCCTCTTATGCGAGCTTACCTCTCTTCGCCTTGCTGACTTCACCACCATGGCGGACTACATTGTTCGGGTGCAGACGCTGTCCTCCCAACTTGCCTCTCAAAAGTTTGAACTTTCCGATCATGTGTGCGGTGCCCTCCTCCTCACAGGCCTCACTCCTGAATACAGTGTTCATGTCACTTTGTATGGTGAGCGCCCTGCCGACCAGTGGTCGTTCTCTCGTGTCTCTGCCTTCCTCCTCCAGGCAGAGCTCAACCTCCGCAGCTGCCCTCTTACTGCCGCCGCTGTCACACCCTCTTCCGCCCCCCCCCCCCCCCCCCTTCTCCCCACCTCCACTGCCGCCGCTGCTTCCTCTCGCCCTCACAACACCTTTCCTCCTTGCACCTACATCATTCGCCAAGGGCCCCGCAAGAGTCATCCATGCGGTCGCACCAATCATCCCTCCTCCTCTTGCTTCCAGAAGCTCACCGATGACTGGTTCTTGGCTGGCAACACTGGTCGCCCTCCCAACTGGCTTCAGCTCTCTCAACAGCGTCGCCAGTCATCTGCCCAGGCGGTACTTGTGGCTGCCGACTCTGGTACCAGTGCTCAAACCTCTGCTCTCAGTGTGACTATGCCTAGTCAAGATAGCATTCTAGGAGCTTCTCCCTTTATGGTGTGAGAATAAGCGAACAGGAATGGATGAACTAGAAGTGAAATGAGTACAAGTAGTAAACCCTAGAATTGTGTACCCCCTATAGGCTAACCCACTGTAGCCTACACAAGCATAACATATATAATGTTTGACATATGGACCCTCGTTTTGCCATGATGTTTGCTCCTTCTGTTAATGGCAATGATTCTCAGTATCTTCGTCCCACAGTTGCTGCTCTTTCTCTCCCTCACACTCTTGAGTTTGTTCTTGACAGTGGTGCCACTGACTCTGTTTTTCGTGATGCTGGTGTGCTTCGCTCTTTTCCCCAACCCCTCTCCATTCAAGGAGCTGGGGATACCATGACCATGACTTGCACTGCTACCTCCTCTCTTCCCTGTCCTGCCTCCCCCTCTGGTGCTGTGACTGGCCTCTATGTCCCTTCCTGCCGCCACAACCTTCTCTCTCTCTCTCTGCTCTTCAACGTCTTTGTGTGCGAGCTATCTTTCCTGAATGTGACTCCTATTGTGATCTCTATCATCGCAATCGTCATCTTGCATGCTTTACTCTTTCCCCTATCACTCGCCTCTATACTCTTCGTGTCTCTCTCCCCCCTTCTGCCCATCATGCCCCTTCCGCTTCCGCCCCTCCCGTTCTTTCTTGCGACTGTCGTTCTCTCACTCAACCTACCCTTCTCCTCCATCATCGGCTTGGCCACCCCAATTTTTCCCTTCTTCGCAGTATGGTCTCCTCCAAGCTTCTTCATGGCCTCCCTTCCTCTCTCCCCCCCCTTTCCTCCCTCTCTTGCTCCTCCATGCACCCCATATTTCTAGGCCAAATTATCCCAGTCGCCCCATCCCTCTTCTCCCTCTGCCTCTCCCCAACCCCTTGACCTTGTTCATATGGACCTCTGGGGTCCTTCACCCACTGCGTCTCGTCAGGGTCATCGCTACTTTCTACTTTTGGTTGATGACCACTCATGATTTGCCACTGTCTATCCCCTCCGTGCCAAATCTGACGCTCCCTCCCTCATCATTCGCTGGGCTGAGCAGGCTTGTATACGCTTTAAGCGTCCTGTCGCGCGCTTCCACTCGGATGGTGGTGGCGAATTCTTTAATCACTCTCTCTCCTCTTACTGTGCCTCTCATGGCATTCGCCAGACCTCCACTCTTCCTCACTCATTAGAACAGAATGGGGTTGCCGAGCGTTGCAATCGCACTCTCATGGAAATTACTCGCTGTCTTCTCACCCATGCCTCTACTCCCCACTCTCTTTGGAGCTATGCGCTCCTCCATGCCACGCTACTCTCTAACCTTCGCCCTCATCCTCTTTGCTCTACTACCACCCCCTTCCAGCTTTGGACTAGCCGCCAGCCCTCTGTTCGCCCACTTTGGGTCTGGGGGTGTGTCGCCCATATTCTTGTCAATCCAGCAAAGCGGTCCCGTCAGGGTGGGAAACTCGCTCCCAAGACGCAACTTTGTGCATTCCTTGGCATCAACTCTGAGTGTCCTGGCTATCTTTTCTATGCCCCTTCCTCTCACCAACTCATCCGCAGCCAGGACGTCATTTTAGACGAGACTCAATCCCCATTCCATTCCCCCCCACCCGCCCCTCTTGTCCCCTCTCTTCACTGGTCTGATTTCGATCAGCCACCGTCTGTCCTTCCCTCCCCTCTCCCCCCCCCTCCCATCCCGCCCCTTCCCGCCCCTCCCTCCGCGCCAGCCCCTGCTGCCCCCCCTTCCGACATCATCTCTGGCGCCTCCTCACCTGCCTCTTCCTCTTTGGCTCCCCTCCCTTCCTCACTTCCATCTTCCTCTCCACCTCCTTCGTCTGTTCCCATTCCCCCTCCTTCCCCACGCCTTACTCGCTACATGACTCGCGCACTTTGTAATTTTCAGCGCTCTGCTCTTTTCACTCGTCTTTCTCCATCCCAGAATGTTACTCTTCTTGAAGATCGCTTTGAGGAGCTCTTCAACATTCATCCTGTCTCTCCTCTCCTGTGTGTCACTGTTGGTGACTTTAGCAATTCTCCCACTCTTCTCTCTGTCGACACCGCTGCAATTCTCACCTCTCAGTCCTACTCCGAGGCTGTGTCGGGCTTTCATGCGTCTGAGTGGATGGCTGCCATCATTGTTGAGTGTGAGGCATTCACCAGAACTAATTCATACATTGACTCTGTCCCCCCCCCCCTGGCGCCACCATTGTCAAAGGCAAGTGGGTCTTCCGTGTCAAGCAGCTGCCTGGCGAACTTCCTGTCTTCAAGGCCCGCTACTGTGCCAAGGGGTTCACTCAGCGTGAAGGCATTGATTACTTTGCCACTTACTCCCCCACAGCCCGTCTCCCCACCCTTCGCCTCCTTCTTGACTTAGGTGCTCGCTGGAATCGGGAGATCCATTCCATGGACGTTTCCAATGCTTTCCTCCAGGGCGAGCTGCATGAGTGCATATTCCTTGAGCGCCCCGCTGGATTTCCTCGCCCTTTTGTTTGTCTTGAAACGTACTAGCCTACTCTCTAATCACCTTTCTAGCATTGCCAGCACTCTCCTCAAGGTCACCTCCAAGGGTCCCTGGGTGCCTGACTTAACGTCAGCCCCTATCCAAGGGTCCGAGTGTGTAGAGAGAGAAGCTTGCAGTGGTAGCTTGGTTGTCGCAGCAGGCGTTCCATTCTAGGCGTTGTCAAAGCTTTGAACACTGAAGGCGTTATTGCAGCAAGTACGAGAGAAAGAAATCCACTCAAGTTATTGCTAAAACAAGCAAGGACAAACAACTATATACTAGGGCTTGATAATTCTAGTTTCCTACCCTGTTTTACGTTTCTTTGTTTCCATACTCGTAGCGCAAACACACATTGAGCTTTCCCTCCAAATTATTTCCTGACCTGGAACGCTCTCAAAGCGTTGCCGAAATAATTCAAAAATCGCGCGCGCTGAGTTGCGACGGCGGCGATTCGAACATTTCACTTCGCGCCATTTACGAACGGTTACATGAAGCCCGTTCGAATTCTGCACGAGTCAATATGTCGGTGGCGATCAGCTTCAACTCGATCAGCAACTCAATCAGCACCCAACTGGTGCTCGCCACCTGTGCTTTGCTTTCGAGGCGTGAACGCCAACTCAATCCGAATTAAATAACATGTCGCGAGCATGTTAACACTTGTGTTGTTCCCACGTGTCGCGAACAGCTGCTCGCAAACTGACGAAATGAACATGCTGCATGAGCAGCGACCAATCAGATCCCTTCAGAAGTCGCAGCGCGAGCAGCTGATTGCTCGCTAATGAACCGAACTCGCCGCACGAACATCAGCCAATCCCATTCCCCCAAAACTAGTGGTACAAACAGCTGCAAACTCACTCTCAATTCGAACTTGCATCTTGGGCAAGAACCGCTCGCTCTCATTGGTCCAGAAAGCACTCAACTCGAACTTGCACCCACCCAAATCCGAACTCACCTTTTGAGCAGCGAACTGCAACCTCATTGGTCAATGTTAAGTTCGCCCCTCCCACTCTGAACACCACGTTTTTATCCCTTCCTTGCTCCCATTGGTCGAAATGAAGGGGCTGAACTTGAGAAAAGAGAACGAGAATGAAATGACTAAGGGAAAGTTGGGTACAAGAGCAAACCCCAGAAAGCTGTACCCCATATGTGCTACCCCATTATAGCCTACAATAGCTATGTCATATAAATCTGACACACCCCCATAGGCAAAGTGGGGGAGAACAAGGGGTCACAAGACTAGTCAAGCAAAGCAAAGCAAGCTCAGGGTGGATCACAAAGTCACCACACATTCCAAGCACAAGTTCAAGGCCACAAGGCCAGTTCACATGCAGGAGCACATATATATATATAAGGCTAGGCAAGCAAGAGCAGGTGTATATATATATGCAAAAGTACAAACAAGGTCAAGGGGTGAGCAAGTGAGGCAAGGTAGGCACAAGACCCAGCTGAGTACAGAAGCGCTGATGATCACAAGGCGCAAGTGCCTCGGTGAAGATATCAGTAGTGTTGGCCTCTGAGGCCACGTACGCAAGGCGCAGCTGACCACGCTGCTGTAGCTCACGAGCAAGGAAGTAGCGCAGAGCAATGTGCTTCGTTCTGTGCTCCAGTCTCTCCTCTCGACACAAGGCCAGCATGGCCTTGTTGTCTACGTACACCACTGGAGGAGAACGAGGCGGCTCTCCAAGGTCAGTCAGCAGGTAGGTGAGCCAGCGAAGCTCCTCTGCAGTGGCCCCGACGTAGATCTCAGCCTCACAACTGGAGCCAAGAACAGAAGACGAGCGGGTAGCCCGCCACGAAACAGAGCCGGAACCAAGGCTGAAGGTGTAACCCTCTGACGACCGCTGCATAGCC